GCGATACGCACCGTCTCCTGTGTTCGATGCAGTAGTGTGTGGGAGAGAGAGCTCTTTAGAGAAGGAGAGGAGAGAGAGAGAGAGAGAGAGAGAGAGAGAGAGAGAGAGAGAGAGATCTGGGTGCCAAGACCCTGTGCTGCACCAGGTCCAGACTGGCCATGCTGCAGATCTAGGTGTTCTTTTAGAGCTGGGGCTGCAGAAGGGTCCATGTGGGTCAGATAATATAGAAGGCCCAGATGAGCTGCTGGGTGGGAGGCTCATAGCTGTTTAGAACCCAGGCTTCCTGCCTGTTTATCCACTAAGACCTGGTGGCTCTGGATGGCTTGGTGGAGGCCCCCGCCCAAGCCACTTGAAAGCAAGGACATCTCCCAAGTCATGGGATGGGGAAGAGACCCAGGACAGCAAGGCCCAGGTCTGGAGAAGAGGCAGGTGAGGACAAGGAAGCCTGAGAATGTGGGAGGAGGTGGCTCAAGGCAGCAAAGCTAGGGAACCTTGGATGTGGACCTGAAATCCTCATCTAAGCAGATCCTGGCTAAACTTCCAGGAAAAAAACTTGGATTTGAGAGCCTGGAGACCTCCATAGACCCCAGGGTAGGATGAGGGCTTCCCGAACTCAAAGTAGATCCCAGGAATGGCTCTTGTAACTACAGCTGGGAACAGGGTCGTTTCTCCTCTCCCCTTTCCCTGATCAGACCTGGACAGTCTCCACATCCCTGCATCCCCTCCCCCTTTCCCCAACGGGTTCTTACCAATGGGGACAGAAAAGATGATGTGGTCATCTGTGAGGCCCAGAGATTTGGCAAAGCTGACGAAGCGTTCTTTCACTTCAGGGGGCAGTTCCTTGGTTCTTCCTGTCACCGAGATTGCCCGTGAATGACCACAGAAGGAGTGTCTAAATGCCACTGAGCTAGCAAACAAGGTCTCAGAACTGTTTCCCCTGGAAGGTCTGCAGAAAGACTACAGCTCTGAGGGGCCTGGAGCTGGAGATCTTGGGGTCCCATCCCCTGAGTATAACCAGAAGCTTGGGTTCCCAAAGGATAGGACCAAAACCCACCATAAAGAGTGACTTTGAAATATTGTTTGTTTCCAGAAGTCTTTCTGAAGAACACCATGGCAAACTGGTTGTAGTCAGTGGCTGTCACCCGCACTGTGTAACTCTTTATTTCAGGATAACCTGTGAACAAGAGGGACAAGGGATCGATCGGCTCTGCCCCAGTGAGAGGAAGGGGTGTCTGTTTTCTCTCCAATCTGTCAGCCTGGGCTTCTCCCCACAGAACATGTGGGTGGAGAAATAAGAAAGATTGACTCCCCACCCCAGGGCCCCACCTCACTCAGGACTCACTTCGAATGTTGCCCAGGCTGAACTGGCCAGGCCGGGACTTTGGGATGAAAGTTCTGATCCAGTAGTCACAGCGCTGGTCCCTGTGGGAGTGATACAAGTGGGTAGGGACATGACACAGGCTGGGACACCCTGGGATGGAGCAGATGGGGCCAGGGCTACAGCAGGATTCTGATGCCCCCTACCCCTAGTCCATCCCAACTCATAATAGCCTGCCCTCCATAGGCAGGAGGCCCCACCTACCCAGTTTAGATGTGCCTGGGCCTTCTCTTCTGAGTCTGCCCCTGCCTGATCTACTGCAGGGCTTCCTCCAGTACCCACTGCCTTCCCTGCTGGCTGGTCTTCCCCATACATAGTCCAGGCCTCAGACAAGTATCTCTTACTCTTTTTTTTTTTTTTTTTTTTTTTTTTTTTTTTTTGGTCTTTTTGAGACAGATGCTCCCTGTAGCCCCAGCTGTCCTGGAACTCACTATGTAGACCAGGCTGGCCTTGAACTCACAGAGATCTGCCTGCCTCTGCCTCCTGAGTGCTGGGATTAAAGGTGTGTGCCACCACGCCCTGGCTCTCTTACTCTTATTTTATTTTGCCTGTGTTCATGTATGTACACCATAAGCACACAGTGTCTCTGGAGGCCAGAAGAGGGCATTGGTTCTTCTGGAACTAGAGTTATAGATTATTGGGAACTGTCATGTGGGTGCTGGAAACTGAACTTGGGTCCTCTGTGAGAGGAGTGACTGCTCTTAAACTGCTGAGCCATCTTGCCAACCCCAAGTATCTCCCTGCCCTCCAACCCCTGCAGCCTGCTCCAAGCTAAGTACTCTCCTAGTTCTTAGGTCAAATTTGACTTCTCCACTGATTCCCATCCCACCCTCGGGTACCTGGTAGCCGAGTTCCCCAAATCTGCCTTTCTTCTGCTCTTGACTCCTCAAAAATTTTGCTCCAATTCTAGTCTACCCAGTGGCCAGACTGAGAGTCATACTTCAGCGGCTGAGCCCTGGATTCCTTCTCCAGGTCCTAACCCCATCAGTGTCATCTCCCCATCGTCACGGCCTAGCCTCAACTTCACTGTTCTCCCCACTCTCTGGTGGCACCCCACAACTTCTCCCCTGATCCAACTGAGCCCAGATCCTGGTCCTTGCAGGAGTCCCAGAGCAGGCCCTGGCATGGGGTGAGGTGCCCACGACCATTCCATCCCCAGCTGCTCATCAGCCCCTGCTTGAACAGCCATGCCCAATGGCTTGCCGACTCCTGAAGGAAAGACATTTGACTCAGGGCCCACCACCTAGAAGCCCTGGATAGAGGCCATGGGTAGGGTTGAAGGCTGGATTCAGTGGTCCTCTTCTAGTCTAACTTTCTTTCCCTCTCCTCCCTCCCTCCTTTCCTTGATATATGTGTCTGTGTGTGTTCACATATGTACATATGCATATGGAGACCAGAGGTCCCAGTCTGATGTCTTTCTCAGACACTCTCCACTTTTGTTTTTTTTGAGACAGGATCTTATGTAGCCCTGGCTGTCCTGGAACTTGCTGTGTAGATCAGACTGGCCTTGACCTCACAGCGATCCACCTGCCTCTGTCTCCTTAGTGCTAGGACCAAGTGTGCACCACCACACCTGTCCTTCTCCACCTTTTTTTGAGACAAGGTCTCTCACTGAACCTGGAGCCCAACCATTAGGCTAGACTGACTGCCCAGCAAGCCCCAGGGATCCTCCTGTTTCTATCTCCCCTGAACTGGGATGCCACATCCCGCGTTTTAGCCTTGGGGTGGAACTCAGAACCTAATGCTTACATGTACTGCACTGACTGAGCCCTCTTCCCACTTCCTCACTGTCCCTCTTGTTTTCTACGGATTGTGAGTCCATCCCTGCTACTGTGTGTGTCTGTGCTGGAATAACAGACAGAAGACAGGAAGGACAAGAAGTGAATCAGAGAGGAAAGGCAGTGTCCCTTAACTCCTGGCCGTGACACCTGCGGGGTGACAGATGATGGCTTCACCTGAACAGGATGGAGGTGACGTTGTAGCTGCCGTCTTCTTTCAGGTCATAGGTGGTGCTGTACATCAGAAAGCGGCCTTCATCTGCTTTGTGAACCGCATTGCCTGCCAGGCCTACGACGTACCATCTTCCCTGGAACTATAAAGGAATGATGACAGATAGAGCCCAGGAATGGCCTCACTGGCTGCCCCCGTCCTGTGCTGTTCCTGATGGCATCTCTAGGCAGTTGGATTGGAGGGCAGCAGGACCCTGGGCTTGGTCTTCTGGAAACGTTTGCAGGAGTTGGGCATCTCCAAGACCAGAAGAGAACGCTGGGTGGAGTTAGCCTTGAATTGGCAAGATGGGGTGGTCCCTGAGCCAGAGGCTGCTGGCTGGACCTTCTGAGCCTCTGTTCCCTCCTCTATGCTGAGTGACTGAAGATGCTCCCACCTTACATGGAGAATGGAGATGATGGGAAAGCAGGTATGGAACTGGGAAGGTCTGTCTAGGTGGCCATCAGATGGGAAGGGGATGGAGGAATGAGGTAAGGTTTCTACTGGGGACCCAGGGTTAAGGTGAGCTGAAGACTAGACCCTGGATTCTCTGAATCCTGCCCCTCCCACCCAATACTGCTTCTGAAACCTTTGGCCTCTCCTCCCTCTGCTCCTCCTCTTCCCTGCTGCAGCTGCCCCTCCAGACCCCTACCTGAGCAGGCTGGAAGTCAGACTGCAGGGGGACCTTCCGCAAAGATGGGGAAGGGATCAAGTTCAATGTTGAGTCCTGGGCTTGGGTCTGCAGGACCCCAAGCAGAGTGAGGACCAGCCACAGGACACCCAGGGTCATGGCTGCAGCAGGTGCTGGGTCCAGTGAGTACTGGAAGAAGAAGAGGAGGGAATGAAGAAGAAGCCTTTGGGGACTATTTATGGGCCATCTGGCTTCCAGCCCAGCTGAGACAGGGGAGGGAGGGAGGGAATCCATCCTTTGCTAAGTCCAGGAAGGGTGAGGCAATGGCCAGCAGTCCTGCAGAAATACTTGGCAAGATTTCTCCCCCAGCTCAGGATTGTGCAAGGTGGAGAACAGGAAGGACTTTGGGGGGGAGGGGGACCGGAGGGACATTCCCAGAGCTCTGCAGTCTGGCAGGCACAAGGACACTGTTTGTGTCCCTTTATCTGACTGGCCCTGTGTGGGGGTCTGCAGCTCATAACTGGATAGGCTGCCCTTTGTGACCCCCAAGGGCCCTGCTATTCAGGAGCCCAGAGAGAGTGACGTTTGTGTGGTAAGGCTCCCTCCTTGCACCCACACCTGCTGAAAGCCAAGAACTGCTGGATTCACCAGTCTGTGAGCAGTTCCCTTGTTTTGGAAGAATCAGGCAAGGGTGGGGCAGCTGCCATTGAGCAGGAAGAATGAGTATCCTCTCAAATCTGCCCCTGGCACAGAGTAAGGTGCTCAGAAGATCAGCCTGGGAGTGCCCCATACCTTGAATTCCTCCACAGTGCAAAGTTGCGGGGACAGGGAAACCAAGTCTTCGGGGACCCCCACTTTCTGCTGTCTCAAATAGGGTTGCTTTTTAATCTAAGGGCTGACACTGTCATTCCAGCTTTTCATGGAACCCTAGTAAGGGGACCAAGTGGGACAAGCACGTGCACAAGAGAAGATGGGCTGGTGGCAGGGTAGGGGTGGAGGTGGGCTGATCTAGGTCTTTGGATCTGAATGTGGAATTTGCTTTGTCCTTGAGAAGTCATTGAAATCATTCCTCTGTCTTTGGCCACAGTGTTGCACAAAGAAGCCTAGTGGCACAGACCTGGGGCCAGAACTGCCCCTGCGATGTTGATTCCAGTCTTGTCCCCAAGGGAAGCCATTTCCTCACGGGACCTGGCCAGCATCCATGGGAGGCAGTGACGGATCACACATGCTGTATAGTATCCCACTGATATGACTTATCTAGGTACTGTGTCTGTCCTGGACACCTGATCTGAGGCTGGACTAAGGGGCCTGTGGCCCTGCACAGGACTAAAAGGGCTCATTGACCTATTTACATGCTGCATGTGACCCTCCACCACCAGCATGGGCTCTGAGGTGGTAGGCTCTGAGGGAAGGAGCTTAGGAGGGGTCTTGAACTGATGAATAGAGTACAGTCTTAGCCTCCCAAACCAGACAGGCTCTGCACTAGACTCTGTCCCCTTGCATGCCTCCATGATGAAAGGGCAGGAAGTGAAGCTGACCAAACTGTGGGGACAATGTGGCCTCCAAAGCCAGCCCCTTTGGAGGTGTCAGTGGCCTCCCCACCCTTACAGCCCCTTCCTCAGCTCTAAGGACTCCACCCCTTTGGCTTTTTGTGACCTTAAAAGGTATGCACAGCTGATTGTGGTGGCACATGTCCCTAATCCCATCACTCTGGAGGCAGAGGCAGGTGGATCTTTGTGAGATCAAGGCCAGCTTGGTTTACATAGTGAGTTCCAGGCCAGCTAGGACTACAGGGAGACCCTGTCTCAAAACAATAACAATAACAACAGCAGCAGCAGCAGCAGCAGCAGCAAAAGATCCATGAGGGCATTGGAGAGATGGCTCAGCAGTTACAAGCCCTTACTGTTCTTGCAGAGGACTCTAGTTTGGTTCCCAGCATCCACATGGCAGCGGATAACCATCCATAATTCCAGAGATCTAATGCCCTCTTCTGACACATCTGTAGATATTGCACAACATGCATGTAGGCAAAACACTTATACCATAAAATACAAATAAATAATTAAAAAAAAATGTATCCATGAGCTGATGATGCAGCAAGTGGTGGAGTGCTGCCCAGCATATGGAAGGCCCTGGATTTCATCTCCAGCCACCCGCAAAAAAGAAAGGACTTTCCAGTTGACTAAACATGCTAAGGCTCAAAAGGTATTCTTGGATCTAGAGAGATGCTCAGCGGTTAAGAGCACAGGCTGCTCTTGCAGAAGACCTGGGTTCAAATCCCAGCACCCACATGGCAGCTAATAATTGTCTGTAACTCCAGTCCCAGGGGAATCTGAAGTCCTCTTCTGGTCTTCGTGGACACTATATGACAAGGGTGCACTTACATACATGTAGGCAACACACATAAAATAAAAATAATAAAATTTAGGGCACAGCGTGGTGGCACACACCTTTAATCCCAGGACTCTGAAGCAGAGACAGGCAGATTTCTGTGAGTTCAAGACCAGCCTGGTCTACATAGTGAGTTCAGGCCAGCTGGGGCTACAGGGAGACCTTGTCTCAAAAAGACCAAACAAACAAATAAATAAATACTAAAGTTTAGGGGGGAAAAGGTATCCTTGAGTCTTTGGTGCCTACTGGATGTCAGGAAGACTGGTGGAAAGGGTCCCTAAGAATTTTCAATAAGGAAAGACAGCGTGCCCTGAGTCACAGAGGAGCTAACTGTATAGAATATTCCAGATTGAAAATCAAGAGGCTAAGTGACCAATTTCCTGCTGTGTAGACATCTGCTCTTGGGATTCTGTGAGGCCACACACAGGCAGCTCCTGACCTGAGATATCCCTATTTAGAGTAGCTTCTGAGATTCTAGCCAAACCATTGTGAGGCCAATTCTCCCTGCACCAGCTCCAGCCTGTTCTCTCTCCACTGGGCTCACTCTCCCTCTGTCCTCACCTCTAGGTTGGTCTTTGCTTCTGCTGACACTTGGTGTTGGCTGTCTCCTCACCCTTGCTCACCTGGTGGTCTCTTGCAATCCTTTCTGATCTAGCCTTATGGCTAAGGATTGAGTGAAGAGGATGAGCCCATGCATGGAGAGACTGGAGTCTCACATGTGCCATGTCATTAATCAGGCTTCATGTGATCCTAAGACTGTCGTGTCAAGGCTAGGCAGAGGACAGGCCATGTTGGGGCCCATCTCTACCAACAAAAGCCTTGGCTGGTTGGAACAGGAAGGGCTGGGCATCAGCTGTGTGTGTGTGGGTGGTACTGGCTCCTCTTGTCTTAGGAGTAGAAGGTTCCCACAGGCTAGGCTGGGGGTCAGCAGAGAAAGCTCTGGCCATCAGCTTCAGAGATCAGCAGGGCTGTGGGAAGAGGGTCAGTTCCACACCCCTATTACCTCATCTGTGAGCCTTGGCACTAAGGGGTTGGGTGACTGACCCCCTGATCTGGTTTCTAGAAGGTCCTGAGCTGTATTAGGCCATCAATGAGGGGCTGGAGAAAATGCCTTTTAATCTGTGCCTATATATTTTTTTAATTTTTAATTTTTATTTTTTGTATATGCATGTATTGCCTGCATGTAGGTAAGTGCACCCATGTTGTGCAATGCCCTTGGAGGTCAGAAGAGGCTGTCAAATCCCCTGGGACTGGAGTACTGGAGTTACAGACAGTTGTTAGCTGCCATATGGGTGCTGGGGTTTGAACCCAGGTCTTCTGCAAGAACAACCAGTGTTCTTAACTGCTGATCCATCTCTCCAGCCCTGTGCCTATATTTCATAAGCAGGCACCCTAGAGACCTCGAGGGTCTCCTGGCCCCTACCTCTTCCACCTACTTGTCCTGTCTTTGAAAAATCTCTGAAAGTTAGCACCTCTAATACTCCATAGTACACCACTGGATCCCCAAATCTGGAGGGGTCCTCAGACAGGAGGCAAGCAGGTCTTGCTCCTAAGAACTGAGCTCAGGGCCATCCCCTGGCTTTGGTCCTTGGGTTTCTGAAACAGACTGAGCCTTAGAGGGGTACCCCATCTGTTTCTTTAAATTTTTTTTGGAGAGGAGGTTTCCTTGTAGCTCCAGTCAGCCTGAAACTCACTGTGTAGACCAGGCTGGCCTCGCTCTCACAGAGCTCCACCTGCCTCTGCCTCTGGAAAGTTGGGATTAAAGGCACATGCCACTGTGTTTGGTTTTTAATTTTTTTTAAAAAAAAATTATCATTTTTATTTATTTTTATATTTTATTTATTATTATTATTGTTATTATTATTTGGTCTTTTTGAGACAGGGTCTCCCTGTAGCTTCCAGCTGGCCTAGATCTCACTACGTAGACCAGGCTGGCCTTGAACTCCCAGAGATCTGCCTGTCTCTGCCTCCCAAGTGCTGGGACTAAAGGCATGTGCCACCACGCCTGGCTTATTATTTTATTTTATGTGTATGAGTGTATTGCCTGCATGTGTTTAAGTGCATGTTTGCACACATCCCAAAGGATATGTTCCTCTTTTTGGTATGTAACTCTAATTTCCTACTATACTGACATTAAACTACTTTCCTAGCTGTGATGGCCATGGGCATCCCTGCATTGAATAGGACTTTTCCCCTTCACCTTTCTTCATCACTGCAAATTTCTGTCTTAACTAAACCAACCTTCTTGGTAACTCTTTATATTTTATGTATTATTTTTATTTTATGTGTATGAGTGTATTGCCTGTATGTATGTAAGAGCACCCATGTCATGCAATGCCATGTGGAGGTCAGAAGAGGGCTTCAAATTCCCCTGGAACTGGAGTTAAGGTCGGTTTGTAGCCGCCGCGTGGGTGCTGGGAATCGAACCCAAGTCCTCTGCAAGAGCAGTCAGTGCTCTTAAACTCTGAGCCATCTCTCCAGCCCCATGGTTTAATTTTTTAAACATTTATTTGAATTTTATGTGCATGAGTGTTTTGCCTGCATGTATATATGTGCACCATGTGCGGGCAGTGCCGGAAAAGACTAGAAGAGGGTGTTGGATCCTCTGATACTGGAGTTACTGATGGTTGTGAGCCACCATGTGTATACCGGGAACTGAATCCTGGTCCTCTACAAGTGTAACAAGTGCTCTTAGCTGCTGGGCTAGGTCTCGGGCCTCATTAGTCCTTTCTTGAGCCCAGAGAGCCCAGGACATATCAGGCGAGTGCCCAGGCCATGGGGTCAGAATAGTGGGTACTGGAAAGCCTACAGAAGACCAGCTGTCCGAGGGCA